TAGTGTTGATTTCTTGGCGGAATTGCCTTCGCAGGCGGTTCTTTCCATCCTATAGAGTATAGAAAAGCTCGAACTCTGACAGTAATTGAACTTGTTCAGGAGAATGTTACGCTAAATTCTACGGCAATGGACATGTCTAATACAATTATGCAAGAAGTCATTGATGAGGTGCGCCACGTTTCGAGTTGTGGATGATTCCTTTTCCCATCTTCCTTTATACGAATGCTGGTAACTCTAACGTTGGTTTGTTCACGTTGAGATCGCTCAAAGGCGTGGGCTTGATCACGAGGTGGGGCTTCCAGTGTCCCGTCATTGGTGGAAGGAGGCTAAGCCAAAAGGTCTTGTCGTGCGGTGTAGCCCGTCCCATTTCAACCGATAATATTAAACCGGATTGCGCGGTTCCTAGCCAACTCATCAACTGCCTTTGATTGCCACTTGATGACTAGGTAGAGCTTCATCCGCCTTGCATGAAACTCTTTAGGCTGGACGCTGAGCTTAGTAAACGAAACTGAACTGAATCTACTAAGAATAGAAGATTATTGAGTGATTATCTACTGTAATTAGCGAAATTAATGAGAGATTGCAGGTCCAAGCAGACCGCGAAGAGGGTGGCGAACGATCGATTTCAACTGCACCAGCAATTCAAAATTCAACGGTAATGTGTAGTCACTCAATTATTCAACAGATTCTATTGATTGGTATTGATTCAGGGGTTAGAAAGACAAGGATGATATATTACTAAATAATATTCCTCCATTATAGTTCGTTGTCGAAGGTCCTTTGGATAATGTCGAGTTCGATGAACAGATCACAAATGAGCTTAGAAAGGTACGTCTACTACTCGCCTGAAGGCATACTTACTGCCTTACTAAATATTGGTCCTTTCCACATGCTTGAGGTGAATGGACCCTCATCTGCCTTTGCGTACCTTTTTTCCGCTCAAAAGTACACAATGGGGCTGGAGGGTAGTAATAGCCATGTGTCGTCTCCATACTGCGCTAGCGCTGTCGCACTCCTAACCTTAGCCAAACGCGCTGCTTGTCTGCACCCTCTCACTTTTGATTGTTCTCTTTCGCTGTGCGCGTGTTCCAGTACTGCATCTTACTA